CTCTTCTTGTATGATTGTATAAATAAGATTACTAGCAAATTTTATATAATACGGCAATTTGAGTATTATCCAATTTTCATTTATAAAAAGGGAAACTTCCATTGTTTACATAAGAAAAATTCTAATCAGTTTATAAACTAATTAGATAGTATATACAAAATTAATAATTATAATGAATAAAATCTAATTTTTTTTGTTTTTTAACAAGAGATTTAGATATAGATGATGAATCTTCTATTTTACATTTTAACACTTGTTGAGAAGTTGAAGAAAAAAAGAAAAAATTTATTATCAAAAGCTATTTGTTTCATTTATCAGTTTCATATATATTTTTGATTGTTTTTAAAGCCTGTTTTTCATTACATGATAACAATGAAGTGCAAATATTATGAAGACTATTGAAATAGTAAACAATATCAATTTCTTTATCTGGCATATACTCTTTAGCCAATATCATTTTGTGTGATATACTGATCTTTGAATCCATATGATACAAGATATAATATTCAAAATATCCAGGAACTAACTTTTTTTCATTCTTCTTATAAGATTTGACAAAATTGAGAACTATTGTATTTTCTTTTTTGGAATTAATTGATTGTTTAAGTTTTTTCTGTTTATCAAAATATTCACAAAATGTTGTATCTTTAGAAGGATTTTTTTAATATTTTTGAATAGCAATAATGTAGTCATGATTGGTTATTTTCCTAAATTGGGAATCATATTTTGCTGTTAATGTGAACAATTGCAGATCTAGTGATTTAACTTGTGTGATATACTTATAAATCACTTCTTGAGCTATTATATCTGGTGATTTAAGATGTGATTGTGATAATTGTTTTTAATCATTAAACCCTAAACAGCTCCAGATTAATTTGGTGGCCATTTTTTTGTAAAATAGAGATACGTTATGTTTAACAATTTTCAAACTCTTGATTAACAATTTTGGGGTTGAAAAATTTGGTTCATGCTCATGAACAATATTACAGTACTGTTTCTTGTGAAGAAACAAAAATGGATGAAGAACTTTCTCATACACTATTTCTATATATGAGCTATCATTTACTTGGCATATATATTCATTTACTGTGTCTTTAATTTGTTTTATATATGAGATTGATTTTTCTATAGATTTTTGGTGATAGAGCTGTTTGTTTTGTGAATATGATTGACCTATCTTGAAAAAATATTGTTTGGGTATCATAAAAAAAACTGAATCTGTATCATCATAAATTATACAACATTGTTGCAATTCCAAGAAAGAGATAACTTTTTTTAAAATTTCACATGAAAATGCTGTAACCGATGATACTATTGTTTTTCTGTAGAAAGAAGAGTAAAGATATCCCGTTTCACCATATGTTGAATTTGCCAGTACCTTTAACACATTTGATTTTGATGAGAAATATGCTAATTCGACAGGATTATTTTTATGTTTTTTTATTAATCTTTTAGCCTTAGCACGTTTTGTCAACAGCTTTTTACATATTAACAGTATCAACTCTATCTTTTCTTCTTGATTATAGTGGGGTTTAAATTTCATGATTATCTGATTATTATCAAATATTGTGTTTAGCAATGGATCAGATGAAGTGGTGAGAACTTTAGTCTCCAAAGAAATGTTCATTGTTATAATCATGTTCAGATATATTGATATGAAATCAAGATCTGGTACTGGGCAATTGTTTATATTTTTATAGGGAATGATGACTAATCCACCTTGGTATTTTTGACCCATTTTGATTACTCCTTTATAATTCATCAATATTAGAATATTTTATCTAGCAGCAACTCGCCCATAAAGATTACGAACCAAACAACCAACACTATTTGTGAAAACATTTGATATTGTGGTACATGATAAAAAAGCAAGTTGAATATAATCTTGTATTATATTTCTTTTTAATAACAGTTCTTGACATCTTAAAGAATCAATTGAACAATAATAAGCGATATTTACAGCATACTGTTCAAGTTGAATATTAGAAACTAAGAATTGATTTAAGCATTCAATATAATCGAGATTTTTTAATAAAACTAATTAGGTGGTGAAATCCTCTAATTTTGATTGGTTGTCTTTGAATTTTATTGCATTTACATAAATAAACATTAATTTGAGGTTAGAAGAATTACTAGGAATATGAGGAAGATCAATCTTGCCTTCAAGACTACAACGTAATAAAACATTATTAAGAATATTCTTGATTTTAGTAAGAAATGCTTTTTTGGCCCAAACTAACAAATCCAAAAAAATCGTTTCAGATATATAATAATATTCATATATTATTTTCTCATTAGGATTTACTTTAATTGAGCGATTGTTTATATTGAAACTGGCAAATTCATATTTCTTTATTTCATTATCCAGATCATGTGTAGCAAATCTTACTTTTATTTCCCGAATATTTAATATGATATCCTTTATTGTACCAAGAAGAATATTATTAAATTTTTTGACAAAATTATATTGTTTAACTTTTTTCAATATAAAATTCTAATTGTAACTACTGATATTGTAGCCTAATTCAAAATCAGATTTAAAATTATAGAAAATCTGTGCAAATCCTAACAAAAGACCAATTTTCATATCAAATTGAAGAAAATAAAAATTATCAGGTGAACATATATTGTATTTTGAGAAAAATAATTCTTGATTAATAGGTAGAGTTGTTAAACAAAATAGTTGAATAGGTAATGATTTAGAAACCCAGTAAATATCCATCTGTATCATATAGATATATGATATTTCTTCATGCCCTATTGAAAAATACTCTGGATCTTGTATATCTGATGGTTCAATATCCCAAGATAATAATAAGAAATGAAGTAGAGTTATATAATTTTCTACTTTTTTGATCTCTAATAAATTTAATCTCATATTGTCAGATAATTCTCTGTCTGATATCAACTCGTACCAACCAACCAACTCAAAATCATTTTCATGTGCAACCTTATGATAATAACATAAAAGGTTGTCTGAATAGGTATCAAATATATTCCACCAATCATCATTAACTATTTTATTTTTTTTTATCTTCATCTTCATAGATAAAATTACTATCTTTTTCTAATTTAAAGATGATACGATTTAAATATTTTTGTTGTTCAGTATGATTTGTAAAATATAATCAAATAAATTTGAACTTTGAACCCAAATTAAATGGTTGTACAAATTCAAGTATCTTATAATATTTTGGTGATAAATCAAAATCTAAGAAACAGTTAAGATAATAACTAAAATCTGTTGTACTGGTAAGCTTAATATTAAAAAATGGATCACCAATATCAATATTAAGAAAAAGTTTAGCTCCATTCTTATAAACAGCATTTATAGATAGAATATATTTTTTGTTTTTAGTGAAAGAATCAGTTGCATTGTATATAAAAAAATATTGCAAATTATGATTGGAGAAAATTAAATCTTGACATGTAATATTCATTGTAAAGACACCTAATTACATTTTTAGTTGGTACAAAATAGTACTAACTAAATATAAATAATAGACAAATAAAATAAAATAATTATAAAAAATAATTAAAAAATAAAATTAAAAATGAGATTTGAAAATATTAACATATTGATCAATTTCACATTCGGTTGATATTTCAATTTTCTTAGGATATAATTTGTCAATCATTTTCTCATACAAATTATAAATTTTTAACATAATTTTTGTCAATTATCTCAAAATCATGATTTTCAAGTCGTCTTTTTTCTTGCTACTCAAACATTGTTTTGGTTGTGGATTTAATATAAAAAATCTTATCAACATTATTGATTTGGAAAATTTTTTGTCTTTGTTCTTCTAGATAGGTTAAAATATCATCATTATCAATATTTGCTATAGTGAATACTTTAGTATCAATATAAGTTCTATCAAGAATTATGTAATCGAAACTCGTTAGTTTATTTAACTTTTCAACCTGATTTTTATAATAATTTAGAATGATGTATTGAAAAAATAAAGTGTATTTTTCTGGATCTTTATAGAACAATTTAAGTTTTAGTTCAAGATCAAGAGATGCTTCAATAGGATTATAAACTGTGAAACCTTTTTCTTGAAGATAATTAACCACAACATCACTGAATGTTGTTTTTCTAATATCAATCACACTAGTAAATATGATGACTTTTGGTTTAGTCTTGATGTGTTTTTAGTTTTAACAATGTTGTCAGAATATCTTCTTTTCAATTATTTTAATGTTTCACATTTAACCTTATTGTCATAATCTGATTAAAACAAATCAATCATGGTTTGCTTTGTCTTTTCGTAGTCTTTAGAGAAAATATAATGTATTGTTTTGGATAAAAATTGAGGAACGATTTCATATTCAAATTTTTTATTTACAGTTTTGAGAAGAATTTTTACATTATTCTCAATCTCAGATAAATAAACATTAACTTTTTTGTTCATTATTAAAAAATAGGTACATAATTAAAAAACTATTTGGTCATATGACTGAATAGATAATATTTTTATATAAAATAATTAATTACAATTTTTTTGATCTGAACATGATTACTCTTAACCCCAGCAATTTTAAATTTTCTGCTGTAAAATCAAATAATTCTAAGGATGAGAAGATTCAGTATTACAACATTCCTTAATAATTGTACAGATTTTATTTTTATTACAAACTTTTATAGTTTGTCATAAAGTATTAATCCAAATATTAGCTTTTGGACTAATGTAATTTTTTGATTTCATATGATCTTTATTATATACAATTATTCCAAGAGAATTTGAAAATCATAATACTGATGATTCAAAATCTCAAATAATTTGAATATTAATCGATTTTTCAATTTTTTTACATTGGATTAGAATAGTTTTTTCTTTATAAGTAGCGATAATATTGATTCTATTATTACTCTGTATAACTTTAATTTCATTGGCTAAAATCGCATTTGACTCAAGTAATCTTTGGATAATTGCTTCAAAATCAT